GTTTAATGAAGAGAAGGACTGGGGGTGTCATGATAGCAGTCTTCCAATATCTCAGGGGCTGCCCCAAAGAAGAGGGAGTCAAGCTGTTCTCCAAAACGCCTGAAGGCAGGACAAGAAGCAACGGATGGAAACTAACCAAGGAGAGAAGCAACCTAGAACCAAAGAGAAACTTCCTGACAGTAAGAACAATTAATCAGTTGAACGACTTGCCTTCAGAAATTGTGAATGCTCGAAGGCTGAAAGTTTTTAAGAAGGAATTGAACAACCATTTGTCTGAAATGGTACAGGGTCTCCTGCCTGAGCAGGGGTTGGGCTAGAAGACCTCCAAGGTCCCTTCCAATTGTTTATTCCTATTCTATTCTATTCTATTCTATTCTATTCTATTCTATTCTATTCTATTCTATTCTATTCTATTCTATTCCATTCCATTATTTCTAATTCTATTCTGTCCTGTCCTGTCCTGTCCTATCCTATCCTATCCTATCCTATCCTATCCTATCCTATCCTATCCTTTATAGGCTGCTGTATGTTTAAGGTTCACAGGGGTCTGCAAACTTCTCAATATGGCCAGCACAGATATCTTCTGATACTGCAAATGTGTCCGGAGAGGTTGGTATGAGTAGCCCAGCTAGTAAAATGCTCACGTGAAGGATTAATTTAATAATTTAATAATAATTTAATTTAATAATTTAATTTATATACCACCCTTCTCCCGTAGGACTCAGGGCGGTGCACAGCATATTAAAACAGATACAAACAAAATACATCAAAAAACAAAAAAACCCCATAAAACCAAATTAAAAGCCAAATATTGGAAGCTGTGTGTCAATTAAAATTTTCTTAAAATCATCCCTACCTAAAATCCTCCCTAGGTCAGGCCCGCTTGCTGGAAAAGCCATGTCTNAATCCCCCAAGACCATAAGTCTGGGGGTCCCAACCGCCACCCCGGCTATCACGTCAGCCAGCTCAGGCAGGGCTGTTGATACATAGCAGGGAGCCAGGTATATAATCAACAAGCCCACTTGCACCCCTTGCCCCCATTTCACAAGGAGGGACTCCACGCCGTCTATCTGAGGCACAGTGGTCTCCCTAGGACAAAGGCTAGGACAAAGGCTAGGACAAAGGCTCTCCCTTATAATGACCGCTACCCCCCCGCCCCTACCCCGGGTCCTCGGCCGATGGAATGCCTGAAAACCTGGCGGGCAGATGTCTACTAGAGGTACTCCTCCTCCTCCTCCTCCTCTCCAGTTAGCTAAGGTGAGTACAATACATCGACTTATAACAGTTCATGTAGTGATTGTTCAAACGTACAACGACGTCGCACCGGTGATGACAACAATGGTATAATGATGAATATGCGAGGTGCGTCACGCCGATGGTGACGACAAACAGAACCATTTGTTAAATTATTTGAATCCCACTATTGGTATAAAGCAGGGGTAGGCAACCTCGGCTCTTTTATGACTCACGGACTTCAACTCCCAGAATTCCTGAGTCAGAATTCTGGGAGTTGAAGTCCGTGAGTCATAAAAGAGCCGAGGTTGCCTACCCTTGGTATAGGGCCTCCTGCTTGAGCAGGAGGCTGGACTAGAAGACCTCCAAGGTCCCTTCCAGATCTATTCTGACCGATTGATATTTGTAGCAGCGCCTAATGGTTGACCGAAAACGGACCGTTTTCCATCCATTGCGGCAGCTTTTGTTCCTTTCCCCCTAAAATGGTGTTTCTTCAGAGGCATTTGTTGCGTAGTTACCCCAAATGTTCACATTATGTACTTTAGTTCAGTCTTCCCAACCTCACCCTAGCAGAAATGTTGTGTTGCTGGCAGGAAATGTTGTTTCGTTGCATCAGAAAAGTGCCAGAGCCGTCATCTTCTCCCATCGAGGAGAATTTGGAACAGCTCCTCCTCATTCTTTTCTTTGCTGAGCGAAGGCCTCGATTTTTGAGCATCTGCGCACGGAACAATTCTTCTTTTATGGGGAGACACTTCTTTTCTCTTTTTTGATCAGCGCAGGCTGGCTCTGTGCCCCCTTTTTTCCTTGTGTAATATATATAAAAAACAGATGGTTGGTAAGGGGAGACTGTTAGCTGTCTCGCGGCATTCAAATCTGAAGCCCAAAATGTGTGGGATGAAAAAAAAAAAAAAGGAGGCCGTTGGATGCTTTAAGAGTGTCGTCAATCAATTATCTCTCGCTTGAGTTGGCCTCTCCGGTGGAATTAGGCAACACCGTGGCCTAAGTAACAACAACATTGTGCCGCATGCCAGCTCCTTCTTCTTGGAGGGAGGTAAACAGAAGTTGCACTGCCTTCCATGAGTTGTCAAGAAGAACAAAGAGACGCTACAACAAAGCTGTTTGACGTCATATTTAGTACTGGATGAATGGATACGAAATATTCCCAGGAAGGGATGCAGCTGTTTTAATGAGTTGCAGACCAGGGCTATGTTTATAGATACCCCAACCCCCAACCCCAGAGCTCAAACTCTTGTTTGTGAATCCACTATAAATTACAACTCAAGCCCACCCTGAGTTTCTTAGCAAGTAGGTATTGGGAAATACCCACGGAGGAAGGAAATAAAAAACAGGTAGAAGCTAGGAAGAGTTAGCCAAGTGGCAACAGTTGCACTGCCGCAGATTACCTCCCATCGGCCGGTACGCTCCCACAGAGTGGGTCTCCTCAGGGTGCCGTCAGCCAGACAGTGCCGGCTGGCGACCCCCAGGGGGAGGGCCTTCTCGGTGGGAGCTCCCACCCTCTGGAACGAACTACCCCCAGAGATCCGGGTGATCCCGGATCTCCCCTCCTTCCGCCGCGCCCTTAAGACATNGAAGCTGTGTGTCAATTAAAATTTTCTTAAAATCATCCCTACCTAAAATCCTCCCTAGGTCAGGCCCGCTTGCTGGAAAAGCCATGTCTTGAGGGCGCGGCGGAAAGTAAGGAGATCCGGAATCATCCGGATCTCGGGGGGTAGTTCGTTCCAGAGGGTGGGGGCACCCACAGAGAAGGCCCTCCCCCTGGGGGTTGCCTGTTGGTCTCCTATCTAAAGTAGTTAGAGACATCTTCGTGTACAGGGTTAGGACAAGAAGCAATGGATGGATATTAATCAAGGAGAGAAGCAATCTAGAACTAAGGAGAAACTTCCTGACGGTGAGAACAATTAATCAGTGGAACTACCTGCCTCCAGAAGTTGTGAATGCTCCAACACTGCAGGTTTTTAAGAAGAGACTGGACAGCCATTTGTCTGAAATGGTATAGGGTTTCCTGCCTGAGCAGGGGGTTGGACTAGATGACCTCCAAGGTCCCTTCCAAATCTGTTATTCTGACAACTGAGAAACAGAATCTCAGAGTTCAGGATTGCCTGCTGAGAATGAAGTTGTAGGAGATTCGTTGTGATTATGGCGTAATTAATGAAAGTGCTTTAATGTCAGGAAGAGAGGTAGAAAAGCTGGAGAGAGACTGTTAATACCCCCAACTATTAACTGTAGACTTGATCAAGAAGCATTTTGACCTTTTCTGTGCATCATTATAGTATAACACTTGGAAATTACTGGTAATTCAGCTTACTGTGTCTTTTATTAAGGGATTTATAGATTGAATTTATGATTTGCGATTCTTCTTAGAAAAATGTTTTTTTTTTCATTTTTCATATTTAGTATTGTGAACATTTTAAAGAACTTGGAAGTGACTTGGATGGATAACCTGTCAGAAAGCAAATGTTGATGATGTATAGTTGATCTTCCAGGACTTTATTTTTTTTCAAATTTCCCAGCTCTCCTTTGCTATTCTTGACCTGACGTCTTCTGTCCGTGGATCCTGTCTAATGTTTCTCTCTAAGCCGTTGAAATTTTGGGTGCTCCACTTTCTCTTTTTCTATTACTTTGAACTCCAAGGTGATGTGGTCATTTCCTTCAAAGGTGCTCACAGTTTAAGCTCTTCAACCCTCTTTTTTCCTGTAGAAAGCTGAATGTTCTGTTCTTTTGCAACCCTTCTGTAAAATGAAAGACTTTGCAAGATCACTGAAAAATCTGTGGATTTTGTAATCTTGACCAAGCTGATTTTCTCACAAGCTTCCAGGTAGTCTGAACTTTAATACTACGTCCTTCCATTTTAAGGACCAAGAGGGAATTATCCATATCTTCTGGCTGGCTTTTGAAAAATGCATCCTCACAATTACGTAGTTTTATTCCTTCTCCTTCCAGTTATATAATAATTGGAAATTATTGCCAACTCAGATTTATGTATACATATACTTTATATTTATATTTATATTTATTTACTCTATTCCTACTCTACTCCTACTCCCCTACTCTACTCTATTTCTACTCTACTCCTACTCTACTCTACTCCATTCTATTCCTACTGTACTCTATTCCTACTCTACTCTATTCCTACTCTACTCTACTCTACTCTATTTCTACACTACTCTATTCCTACTCTACTCTACTCCTACTCTACTCTACTCCACTCTATTCCTACTCTACTCTACTCTACTCTAATCTGCTCTACTCTATTCCTATTCTATTCTACATTCTATTTATTCTATTCTATTCTATTCTATTCTACATTCTATTCTATTCTATATTCTATTCTATATTCTACTCTACTCTACTCTACTCTACTCTACTCTATTCCTACTCTACTCTGTTCCTATTTTACTCTACTCTATTCTTACTCTACTCTATTCCTACTCTACTCTAATCTGCTCTACTCCTACTCTACTCTACAATTCTAACCCCGGGACACTGCAACCATCATAAATGAATCAGTTCTCAAGTGTCCAAAGTTTGATCACATAACCCTGGGGATGTTGCAAATGGTTGCGTGCAAAATGATTGTAAGTCGCTTTTTTCAGTGTCGTTGTCATTTAAAGCTGTCACTAACCAGTGGTTGTTAAGTCAAGGACGAGTTGTATTAAGCAGTTTTTGAAAGGACCCGCTCTCGCACCACGAGTCTTAAATAGACAATTTTTTTCTTTCTTATTTTGTTTCCCCCTTTCTTTTTCCAGTCGCCTTCGGCCTGTACTTCCCCCGGAAGACATATCATGAAAACGTTTACCTGGAGCAACCGGAAGGGACCCCTTTACTGCAACTCCATGCCTTAAAAGACTCGGAGGAGGAAGAAGCTTTCTTTTGCCTTTTGCCAGATGCCGTTCGGACCGGCTCCAAAAATCTCTGGTTTCAGATCGGCGAGACAACGGGACTCCTTTACCTCAACAAGAGCCTGGATAGAGAAGATTTTATTCTCCTTTGTAAGTCTCTGGAATTCTCGGCCGATGGGTGGGAAGAAGGAAGGGTGGTGGTGGTGGGATTATCCTGGTTTTTCTTACCTTGTTTTTATTTTATCTTTGAAAACATTTGACGTCTCATCCGAGAAGCTTCCCCAAACTGAACTAACGATGTCCCAAAGGTGCTTTGTCAGGAGGCCACTGGACTTCCGTGTTTTTTCTTTGAAGACATTTCGCTTCTTATCCAAGAAGCTTCTTCAGCTCTGACTGGAGGGTGGGGGATGAAGGTACACTGGACAGAAAACATGCTGCAGCCAAGAAGGCTGAATGGTGAATGGTGCAAATGGGTACAACACAGTCCTTTCAGCAGTTCCAAGAAGGCTCCAGACCCATTTGCACCACTCAGGTGAATCTGAAGACACAGGTAAACCTCCAAGTGGCCTCAACGACTCTCTAAAAGAAGGCAAATGACCAGCGGTCTGCAAGGAGTATAAATCCTTCCATTTCCCCACCCTCCAGTCAGAGCTGAAGAAGCTTCTTGGATGAGAAGTGAAACATCTTCAAAGAAAAACAAGGAATAGAATAGAGCTGGAAGGGAGATCTTCTAGTCCAGTCCCCCACTCAAGCAGGAGAACCTATACCATTTCAGACAAATGGTTGTCCAGTCTCTTCTTAAAAACCTCCAGTGATGGATCACCTACAACTTCTGGAGACCAGCCCTTCCATTGGTTGATTGTCCTCACTCTTAGGAAGTTTCTCCTTAATTCCAGTGACCTCTTGGAAAAGCACTTTGTGGACAACCATGACCTGGATGACTTGAGAATCTCCATAGACATTTAATCATCCTTGTAGACTTTTCACCTCATTTTGCCCCTGTATTATTATTATTATTATTATTATTATTATTATTATTATTATTATTATTATTATTATTATTATTATTATGTTGTTGTTGTTGTTGTTGTTGTTGTTGTTGTTGTTGTTGTTGTTGTTGTTGTTGTTGTTGTTGTTGTAATTCTGAAAACTTTGAAAGTATTAGCTTGGCGGTTTTGTCCAAGTCGGCTTTAGAAGTCCCTTAAATTGACTGAGTGATAATTAATGTTGATTATCCATTGGAGAATGATTTAGATAAGCACTCCGTTGGTGTTCCCCTGTCAATCTTTCTCTGCCTCTCCTTTTTTTATATATAAATGTTTTATTAAGTTTTATAAGGGGAGGGCAAGGATAAGATTGGTATGGATATTGGATGGCGTTAGGGGATGGGGTTGGGATAAGAGTAGGGGTAGGTACAATCGTGGGGTTACCCCCAGCAAAAAATTCAACACTTTAGCAAGCAGACTATCGTCCGGGTACAAATATTAAATGACAGTAATTAATATAATACTAAACAGTTATAATCACTAACAATAACAATAATCATAAAAGTAAAGCTTAGTTAATAAATATCATTCGCCCTGTTAAACTTCACCGTCCTGTCTCGTTCTATCGTATTGCTAACCATTGATAAAATGTTTTCCCATGTTTTGAAATACACTGAATCTTCTTTCTCTTTAATCTCTAAAGTTAATCTATCCATTTCTGCACATTCTAAAATTTTCGTGGTTATAATCTGGTCAGGTGGTAGATTTTCGTTTTTTCCAAAATTGGGCAAATACTATTCTCGCAGCTGTCCATACATGTAATATTAAATATTCATTTTCTTTTCCATAATTCTAATATTCCTAACAAAAACAGTTCTGGCTTAAATTCTATCTGTATTTTAGTCATTTTTTTTTCCACCTCTCCTTTTTAATCACAGCTTCGGGAAGCCAAGTGGCAAAAATCGTGCTGCGTGTTTACCTCTCTTCCAAACCTTTTCAAACCAAAAACTGTCCCGGCTCATCGGCCATGACTTTGGTCAAACTCTCGGTCATCAACTCCACCATGCCAGTCTGCGGTTCTCCAACATCAAGCCGGCTTTGCTTTCCTGACATGGATCTCTCTTTTCACATCATGGAGAACAAACCTCCGGGGATATTTCATCAGCTCCAGTCGTTTGCCCTGCAACACCAGTGTCACAACGTCAGCATTTCCTACAAGCTTGTCACAGGTAAACTATTCGTTTACTATCGGTTTACTCAATTGCCTTGATGGTTTTTGTTGTGTTTTGGGTCCAAGTGTGTTCCTCTCTCCATTGCCAGGCTTCAGGATACAGCTAGTCCTGTATCCTGTAGGAAGAATGGTTGCAGGATTTGGGTTGGGATAGTCTAGAGAAAAGAAGGACTGTTGGGGAGGGACATGATAGCAGTCTTCCAATATTTGAGGGGCTGCCACAAGGAGGAGGGGGTCAACTTATTCTCCAAAGCACCTGAAGGCAGGACAAGAAACAATGGATGGAAACTAATCAAGGAGAGAAGCAACCTAGAACTAAGGAGAAACTTCCTGACAGTGAGGACAATTAACCAGTGGAACAGCTTGCCTCCAGAAGTTGTGGGTGCTCCATCACTAGAGGTTTTAAAGAAAAGACTGGGCAGCCACTTGTCCGAAATGGTATAGGATCTCCTGCTTGAGTGGGGGGCTGGAGTAGAAGACCCCCAAGGTCCCTTCCAGCTTTATTCTGATTCCTTACTTACAGCAGTTTATTTAGTGGCTGTTCAAAGTTACAACGGCACTGAACAAACAAACAACCCTTAAAATGTATACATCTCATTTTTACCAAAGCATTAGAAATTTAAAAAAAACTCAAATGCACCTCTAGTGAAGGCACCCCTTAATATTAAGAAGTCAAATAGATAAGAAAAGACGCCACTGAATTCCAAAATATACTAATCTGAAATGAGAGACAAGGTTTCTTAGCTGTACCTTGATTTATTCAGGAGAATAAGGATAGAAATAATAGAATAGAATAGAATAGAATAGAATAGAATAGAATAGAATAGAATAGAATAGAATAGAATAGAATAGAATAGATTGTAGAATAGAATAGAATAGAATAGAATAGAATAGAATAGAATAGAATAGAATAGAATAGAATAGAATAGAATTAGAACTGAATCAAATAGAATAGAATGGAATGGAATGGAATAGAATAGAATAGAAAATAGAATAGAAAATAGAATGCAGAATAGAATAGAATAGAAAATAGAATGCAGAATAGAATAGAATAGAATAGAATAGAATATAGATGCAGAATAGAATAGAATAGAAAATAGAATAGAATAGAATAGAATATGGAATGGAATGGAATGGAATAACAGTTGGAAGGGACCTTGGAGGTCATCTAGTCCAACCCCCTGCTCAGGCAGGAAACCCTATACCATTTCAGGCAAATGGCTGTCCAGTCCCTTCTTAAAAAATTCCAGTGTTGGAACATTCACAACTTCTGGAGGCAGGTTGTTCCACTGATTAATTGTTCTCACTGTCAGAAAAATTCTCTTTGTTTCTAGGTTGCTTCTCTCCTTGGTTAGTTTCCATCTGTTGCTTCTTGTCCTGCCTTCAGGCGCTTTGGAAAATAGCTTGTCTCCCTCTTTTTTGGGGCAGCCCCTGAGATATTGGAAGGCAGCTATCCTGTCCCTCCTCGTCCTTCTCTTCATGAAAGCAAACGTTCTTTATAATCCATTAGAAAACCCAAATCAAAGGGATACAAATATGCACACATTACGTAGAAAAAGAGATTAACTCGGCCTGTTGGAACTTTGTGGGGTCTCGGCTAATCTGGAACAGATTGCAATGCTTGCAATAAGTTCTGAATATCTCAGATCATAGAGCATTTAGCACTCAAGTGGCTCTCGAACACAAGAGGAAGAATTGCTTCTTGCTTCCTAGCTTTCCTTCAGCACCACCGTGAGACAGATCCAGACTCCTGTTTACTTTGACATACATCTGGCTTTTGTGAGCGTTTCTAGTGCCTGGTTGACAAATAATAGAATTTTTGCATAATTTTGCAAAAACCCTGATAGCAAATCCTGTGAGGAGGTTTCTCCTTGATTGCATAGGAGAGAATTTAACAAGTATAAATTGGATTTATTTTTATTTTTTTCCAAAATCCATCGGCCAGTGGTGCTGATGAGGACCGCATTCTCCAGTTGCAGGTTGTGGAAATGATGGCTCAGAGGCAGATCATAGTTGTCAGAGAAGTCTTTGGCTAAAACAAAGTGGGGTTGTTTTATTCAAGAGCCGAAGGAGATTGGGGGTTGAAAGTTACTTCTCAGATACTCAGTTTCTCTTTAACCAACATTGCAAATGAACTGGCGATTCAGCAAACCTGAATTCCTGGCTCAGGAATTCTGGGAGTTGAAGTCCACGAGTCATAAAAGAGCCAAGGTGGCCTACCCCTGGTATAGGGTCTTCTGCTCCAGCAAGGGGTTGAACTAGATGACCTCCTAGGTCTCTTCCAGCTCCGTTCTGATTTCTGTTACAGTCTTTTCATACCCCAGATCAGAAGTCACCAGAATCGAATTCCATTTCCCAATCCTTGAACGAATAAACCAGGATAGGCAACCTGTCTGAATGCGAGTTGTGAGGGAGGTGTGTGTGGTGGACTTTCAGGACCAAACAATGTCACGAAGAGCTCCAGATTTCATGAGAAAATAAGGTTTTTTCTTCTTCTTCTTTTTTGTACTGTGTTCCAGATGAGAACCTGCCGTTTTATTATAACGAGGAGAGCACCACCATAGGAGTGTCAAAGCCCCTCGACCGAGAAGAGCGAGAAAAGTACGAGATGTTGGCCCAGTGCACCTTGAAGGAAGGCTCCCAGGAGATGTTCAAAGAGGTGCCTCTGCTCATACATATTCTGGATGAAGACGACATGCCCCCCTTTCTATCCAATGGGACCAGCACAACAGACGCCATAGTGGAATTCAAAAGGGAAGAGGTAGGCTGGCACAAGGGGTGTCAAAAATTTGGACACTTGGCAACTGGCATGTACTTATGATGGTTGCACTGTCCCGGGGTCATATCATCACCATTTATAATCTTCTTAGCCAGCTTCCGACAAGCAAAGTCAATGGGGGAAGGCAGATTCATTTAATGACCACATGCAGTGGTGGGATTCAAATCCCTGAACAACTGGTTCTCTGCGTGGATGCAGGCCTGGGCCTCCGAGGCCTAGAACGGACTTCCGGAAGTGGCATCTATGCACTTCCGGTGGGCCGTTCTAGGCCTGGGAGGCCTTCTCCAGGCCTCCGAGGCCTAGAACAGACTTCCGGAAGTGGCATCCACGCACTTCCGGTGGGCCGTTCTAAGCCTTGGAGGCCTCCTCCAGGCCTCCCAGGCCTAGAACAGACTTCTGGAAGTGGCATCCACGCACTTCCGGCGGGCCGTTCTAGGCCTGGGAGGCCTCCTCCAGACCTCCCAGGCCTAGAACGGACTTCTGGCAGCGGTGTGCATTCAGCCGGTTCTCCGAATTCAACAAAATTTAGCTGCTGGTTCTGCCGAACCGGTGTGAACCAGTTGAATCCCATCACGGACCACAGGATTTACTTAAGAACTGCTGTGGTTTTCTTAAGAACTCGGGGGCAAAGGAAGTCGTAACACGCGGCCAAGCTTAACAGCCGCCCTTGCTTAATAACAGAAATTTTGGCCTCAAAATTTGGTTGTAAGATGAAGACTGCCTGCAAAACACTTAGTTTTAGTCCAGTTTTCAGCTCTTTGGTGCTTCGTTCAGGACTTGAGAAGAGGCCGTTTGGAGCCCCGGAGTTGTATATTTGCAACTTCCAAAACAGAATCCCAAAAGTTCTTTTTTTTTCTTTTCCAGGAGGCAACTGGACTTCCTTGTTTTTTCTTTGAAGACGTTTCGCTTCTCCTCCAAGAAGCTTCTTCAGCTCTGACTGGACGGTGGGGAGGGTCCGAGAAGGTTCCACACCCATTTGCACCACTCAGGTGACCCTGAGGACACAGATAAGCCTCCAGGTAGCATTAACGACCCTCTAAAAGAGTGCAAATGACCAGCTGTCTGCAAGGAGTGTAAAACCTTCCATTCCCCACCATCCAGTCAGAGCTGAAGAAGCTTCTTGGAGGAGAAGCGAAACGTCTTCAAAGAAAAACAAGAAAGTCCAGTTGCCCGGTGAAGAAAAAGCATCTTTGAGATAAGTATGACCTGGATGGCTGAGACTCTCCATAGACACTCAAAAACAAAAGTGTCTTTCCTGACCTCTGCTTTTCCAGCTCAGCCCTTGTGTGAAGTTATCTTTCTTCATCCAGTTAAGTTTATTTTCCTGGTGGTTGAGAATTTGGCAAGAAAAAAAGTTTCATATTTGGGTGTTTGATGCCACCCTCAGGCCAGAATTAGTCATTGCTACCTTTCTTTAGTTCCCGCTCTTCCTAACTCTGCTGGGTTGAAGATTATGGATGCAATATTGATCTGGGAAACTTGTTTAGCTCCGATTAATCATGGTTGGATAGATTATGTTGGTTTTTCAGGCAGGCTCCAACTTCGATCCTAGTCTTGGTCTAAAATGCATCCTTTAAAGCCTTATTAACGCCTCCACTTATTCAGGAGAATGAGTCAAATCAATGAGAATAGGAACTGGAAGGGACCTTGGAGGTCTTCTAGTCCAGCCTTCTGCTCAAGCAGGAGAACCTATACCAGGGGTAGGCAACCTTGGCTCTTTTATGACTCGTGGACTTCAACGCCCAGAATTCTGGGAGTTGAAGTCCACGAGTCATAAAAGAGCCAAGGTTGCCTATCCCTGCCCTTATACCATTTCAGACAAGTGGTTGTCCAGTCTCTTCTTAAAGGCCTCCAGTGATGAAGCATCCACAACTTCAGAGGACAATCAGCCAGTGGAACTTCTTGCCTCCAGAAGTTGTGGGTGCTTCATCACTGGAGTTTTTAAAGAAAAGACTGGACAGCCACCTGTCTGAGATGGTATAGGGCAGGGGTAGGCAACCTTGGCTCTTTTATGACTGGTGGACTTCAACTCCCAGAATTCCTGAGCCAGCCTGGCTCAGCTTGGAAACCTCTCCCTTTCCCCTCCGCATGGCTGGCTCAGGAATTCTGGGAGTTGAAGTCCACGAGTCATAAAAGAGCCGAGGTGGCCTACCCCTGGTATAGGGTCTCCTGCTTGATTGTCGGTCTGATATTAATTTTGATGTTGCTGACGATTAACTCCCAAACTATCTAACAGTCCTCCCTAGCACTGATGATGTTGCCTAGTTTGGGTAACAAAATGCCTGCAAGAAAGCAGCCAAGCTCAGAGAGCACCAGAGACCCCCCTCCTTTTGTATTTATACCTGTTACATTTTGTTGTGTGTTTTGTTGTTTTTGAGGCTCTCCCTTCTGTGTCCTCTTGCCAAGAACAAGCAGGGGGTACACTTTGTAAATAATTGAATAATAAATGTTGCATTCATTTTAGTTCGTGGCTGAAACGGGCTTCCACTGACGGCCGCCGTCTAGACAGTTTAGAAACACTAATGCACTAAGCCAGTGGCCCATTCAGTGCCAGTTATAAGTGGCCTTGGCTAAAGTGAATTTATTGGTGGTATTTTTTTCCTGGAGCTCTTGGGTCAGATTCTTCACCTGAAGGTCACACCTGGAAGCTTCTCTTAACAATCAGAGCTCAAGAGTTGCGCCTTGTTACTGTGTAACTTGAATCTACCTATAAAGGAGAATATTTGTAGCTGGGGGCTGAAATGGAGGGGGTCCCTGGTGATCTCTGAGCTTGGTTGTTTTCTTGCAGACCTTTCTTTACCCAGCTAGGTAACATCATCAGTGCTAGTAAGGAGTGTGCTTTGCTCTCAGTTTATATTCCAGTGACTGGCCTTGTCTGTGTTAGTGGGGGTGGTCTTAGAGATTCTTTGGTTGGGCTGTTTACTGGGGGTCTAGGACAGTTTGCCACGGCCAACTTAACTGTGGCCAACTCAGCACGGCACAACTCACTTGCGGGACCAGAATTACACGAATAGCAATAGAGCTTAGACTTATATGCTGCTTCCCCGTGCTTTACAGCCCTCTCTAAGCTGTTTATAGAGTCACCATTTTGCTCCCAACAATCTGGGTCCTCATTTTACCGACCTCAGAAGGATGGAAGGCTGAGTCAATAGCAATAGCAATAGAAATAGCATGTAGATTTATACACCACTTCACACCTCTTTACAGCCCTCTCTAAGCAGTTTACAGAGTCAGCCTATGACCCCCAACAATCTGGGTCCTCATTTTATCTACCTCGGAAAGAAGGATGGAAGGCTGAATCAATAGCAATAGCAATAGAAATAGCACTTAGACTTATATACCGCTTCACAGTGCTTTACAGCCCTCTCTAAGCGGTTTACAGAGTCAGCCTATGGCCCCCAACAATCTGGGTCCTCATTTTACCTACCTCGGAAAGAAGGATGGAAGGCTGAATCAATAGCAATAGCAATAGCACTTAAGATTTATACACCGCTTTGTAGTGCTTTACGTCCCTCTCTAAGCAGTTTACTGAGTCAGCCTCTTGCCCCCAACAATCTAGGTCCTCATTTTACTGACTTTGGAAGACGGAATCAATAGCAATAGCAACAGCATTTAGACTTATATACCGCTTCACTGTGTTTTACAGCCCTCTCTAAGGAGTTTACAGAGTCAGCCTTTTGCCCCCAACAACCTGGGTCCTCATTTTACCGACCTCGGAAGGACAGAGGGCTGAGTCAACCTTGAGCCGGTCGGGATCGAACCCCTGGCAGTGAGCAGCGAGTTAGCCTGCACTACTGCCTTCTAACTCTTGCGCCACCATGGCTGTTTTCATAAATATCAAAGAAATGTTACAATATAATCATTAAAGGACGCAAAAGGAGAGGGACAGAATGAGATGCGAAGGACAAACGTGAAAATATTTTCATTTATTTATTTTAAAGAATTAAATTGAATTCTTAAATTGTTTTACTGTTGGCTTCTTTGCCAGTTTCTTGATTGGGGTATTGTTTACTTGATTGATGGTTGAGATGTTAATTTGGGAGTTAATCTATACTGGTCTGGGTGCTGATGGCTGGTGGAGAGATGCTTTAATCTACCTCTCTCCTTTTCCAGGGTACCGTCTTGGCATCATTAACCGTCCTGGATTCAGACACAACCCCTATCTACCCTGTGGATACCAGCAGGAAGAAATACACAGGCAGCATCAATTCCTCAGATCCGTGGACACAGGAAACGTTTCGAGTGGAGCATCTGTTCCATGAGATTTATTTCCGTCCCAACGGCAGCCAAGTGCGGGGGACACAACACGAATACAGTAATTTTAGCCATATTCTATTCTATTCTATTCTATTCTATTCTATTCTATTCTATTTCTTATTCTATTCTCTATTCTCTATTCTCTATTCTCTATTCTCTATATTCTATATTCTATTCTGTTCTATTCTGTTTTCTATTCTATTCTATTCTATTCTATTCTATTCTATTCTCTATTCTATTCTATTCTATTCTATTCTCTATTCTCTATTCTCTATTCTCTATTCTCTATATTCTATTCTGTTCTGTTCTATTCTGTTTTCTATTCTATTCTATTCTATTCTATTCTCTATTCTCTATTCTCTATTCTCTATTCTCTATTCTCTATTCTCTATATTCTATTCTGTTCTATTCTGTTTTCTATTCTATTCTATATTCTATTCTATTCTATTCTATTCTATTCTCTATTCTCTATTCTCTATTCTCTATTCTCTATTCTCTATTCTCTATATTCTATATTCTATATTCTATTCTGTTTTCTATTCTATTCTATTTTCTATTCTATTCTATTCTATTCTATTCTATTCTATTCTATTCTATTCTATTCTCTATTCTCTATTCTCTATATTCTATATTCTATATTCTATTCTGTTTTCTATTCTATTCTATTTTCTATTCTACTCCTATTCTATTCTATTCTATTCTATTCTATTCTATTCTATTCTATTCTATTCTATTCTATTCTATTCTCTATTCTCTATTCTCTATTCTCTATTCTGTTCTATTCTATTCTATTCTATTCTATTCTATGTCCTCTGCTTATAAGAGCAGAGGCTGCATTTAATCCCTTCATTTTTGTTTCAAATAATTTTATTACGTTTTCCAAAGCATACACATAAAACAACAATCAGAAGAAATCATAAAGAATAACAAGAGAACAGAGGCAGAAGTGTGAAAAAGTATATTTATGTACATACATACATACATACATACATACATACATACATACATACATACATACTGGAAGGCTGCTATCATGTCCCCCCTCATCCTTCTCTTCATTAAACTAGACCGACCCAATTCCAGCAGCCTTTCCTTCTATGGACTTCTGAATCTTGTCCTCTTCTCCTATGTTGGGCCATGTGTTTACAAAGTGGCTATTTATGAAGAAGCTTCTTGGGTGGGAAGCGAAACGTCTTCAAAGAAAAACAGTCCAGTTGCCTCCTGAAAAAGCCCCTTTGGGACAACCATGACTTAGAGGACGGAGAATCTCCATAGACATTCTACCAGATGCGTTTCCTTCAAAAGAGTTTGGGGTTGTACTCTGCATTTCACTGTGTCTGTGGCCAGATTCCCCATAATCATCTGTCCGTTGCCTGTCCATTCTTCATCCACTGGGTGTCTCTCTTTGTTGTCTATTCCCTTCTCCAAGTGCTAATGTCCTGTGAAGTAAAACCAATTTCCTCTTTTTCGTTTTTTATTTGTTCAGGGCTGATACTAAACAGGACCGTTTCCATTACGGAAAGTCGTTCTGTCCTGCTGGATGTCATTGTGAACGACACAACATACCCGGGGTCCGACAAATCCTTGACGCTGCACTTCAACGTCTCCATCCTTCCCGTCCTGATCCAGTTCTCCAACGCGACGTACCAGCTCACGGTGAACAGAAACGCCGCCAACTTTTCACAAGTGAGAATGGCCTTCTCTTCTCTTCTCTTCTCTTCTCTTCTCTTCTCTTCTCTTCTCTTCTCTTCTCTTCTCTTCTCTTCTCTTCTCTTCTCTTCTCTTCTCTTCTCAACAGGAGCTTCTTAAAATTAAATCATCAGGCAGGGAAACGTACATACAAACGCAAAGACGGCTAGGACATAGGCAACTTGGACTCCTCCCAGCCAAGGTGTCCTTGCATTCGAGAGAAAGGTAGTCCTCCACTTAACAACCAGAACCGAGCCCCAAAATTTCCATCGTTAAGTAAGACCGTTGTTAAGTGAGTTTTGCCCCATTTCTTGACACCATTGTTAAATGAATCACTGAAGCCGTTAAGTCAGTTCTTAAACCGGTGAATCCGGCTTCCCCCGCTGACTTTGCTTGTCAGAAGGTAGCAAAAGGGGATCACGTGACTCCCAGGGTGCTGCAACAGTCATAAGTACATGCCAGTTGCCAAGCGCCTGAATTTTGATCACGTGACCCTGGGGAAGCTGCAATGGTCCTAAGTGTGTGAAAAACGGCCCAGTGTGGTTGTAACTTTGGACGGTCACTAAATGAATCCTTGGAAGTCGAGGGCTACCTGAATAAGGAAGGAGTGGAACTACAACACAATCAGACTGTGGGGTCCCTGGAGCTCTCTGAGCTTGGCTGTTTTCTTGCAGACGTTTCATTACCCAGCTGGGTAACATCATCAGTGCTAGAAGAGAGTAGGATTTGTGGAGAGGAGGAGGAGGAGGAGGAGGAGGAGGAGGAGGAGGAGGAGGATGACAACGACTGTGGAGTCCTTGGTGCTCTCTGAGCTTGGTTGTTTTCTTACAGACGTTTCATTACCCAACTAGGTAACATCATCAGGGCTAGAAAGGAGCGGGGTTTATGGAGAGGAGGAGGCAAGCTCTTCCACTGCTTAATTGTCCTCACTGTCAGGAACTTCCTCCTTAATTCCAGGTTGCTTCTCTCTTTGGTCAGTTTCCAACTATTGTTTCTTGTCCTGCCCGCTGGTGCTTTGGAGAATAGTTTGACCCTCTCTTCTTAATAAACCAAGTGATTGCAAAGGCAAAATAATGACTGTTTAAAGATTATTAAGCTATAGAGGAAGTGTTTAGTTCTTGAAATGATCTGTGTTTGTGGTTTAGAAGCAGGCAGTTAATTTATAGTTAATCTGGACTGACAATTTTTGTTGTTGCAACGCTCAAATTCTGTGCTATAATTTGAGTAAATGCATGTTATCACGTGTTACGAGTCTCTTTCGCTGTATAAGGCATGCATGTATCTTTAATTCTTTCTCATGGGCTGAGTTATCTTTGAAGCTTAATCTAGTTTATTGTTAAGCTGTGCTTGGGCCTGTTTTCAGGGCTGGAAAACTGTAGCTTTTACTCCCATCAATCTAAAATTGCTCATATTTTATCTTGTGTCAGAGATAGTGGGTGTCTAAGTATTTTGTGCAACTTGAACAGAAAATGCAGATGTTCTAATCAGCAGAGCAGAAGAAAGCAATGAAGGGGAAAAAATGAGTTCAATTCTAAAAATTAAACCATACGAGAAGTGACAGATTTTGCTGGCAAATTGTTGTTCTGTTTTAGAACTGGATTTCATAAAAGGGGATAGGAACTAGTTCATCCTTCATTGTTTGAAATTAAGGTTTAGCTCCTATTTCGAGGCTTAATCTGTAGATTTTCCACAATTGATAAATACTATTTATATGTACGCAGCTCTAATGAGCACCCAGTTCCAACCGATCCCAACCATTGTTGCAGGAAAATTATTTTGCTGCATTTCCTAAAAAAAAAAAAAAATCACATTCCAAGAAGATAATAAAATTAAAGCATGGAGATTTGTCTTACTTCTGGAGAGGGAAAAAAAAACACCTGGTTTTGTTAGCTAACGTTGTGATGAAGAAAAACGACTGCCACATGTTAATTGTCTTAAGCTCACCTGTGTTATTTCCAGGCATAATATTTCCCCTCAGTTTGTTGAAATAAGAATAGCAATAGCGGTTGAAAGTTTTGATTGATTAAGATAATTTATATTTAGATATATTAATGAATGATTTTATTCGAATCAATTTGATTATAATATATAGATAGAGAGGGAAATTTTAAGAAATATTGTGTGAACTGTATATTTATAATGCTATTGTTTTCTTTTTGTAATTGATCACCATATCTCCACATTGGTTCTTAAGCTTCTGTTGGTGCAAAATGGAAAACTAATAAAAATTGTTTAAAAAAAAAAAAGAATAGCAACACATTAAAGGGCCATTATCTTCCTACTTATTTTCTTGGAAGTTCTGCAGTTCTCCAAAAGTCACATTTTTTTAGGCCTTTCATTCGTGAGCAAAAGCATCGTTTTGAAAGTTTCTTGGCAAAATGTTTCAGTGGTAAAGAGTGCCACAAGTGAGACTGAGAAGCTGTTTTTGGAGGGATTCATTACAAATCTCCAACTCAGTTTTTTCTAAATCAGTGAAAATTAAAAATAAACTATCTGCATCTTAATGTCCTTTTTTTTTTAAAGCAGAGATGGACTTTTTGTTTCCATCCAATGAAGCAAGTCTGGTAGGACTTCAGAAAATTTAACTCACAAGGATGAAATATGAGCAGTCAAGAAGCTGAGAAAGAATAACATAACAAGGGGAAACTATATCTTTGAGTTGGTTTTCAGCAGACCAGATACTAATTTCACAGGAATAACAAGAATTGGAAGGGACCTAGTCCAACTCCTTCATATTATAATTCTTTGTCCCACAAAACTTAAAATGTTAATCAGTGACTGGAGTCACACTGTGACAATTTGACTTCCACCATGGACATTTTTTTCCAGGTCTATTCTCCTCCCATGCTGAAATAAGTAATGTTGTAGCTACTTGGCTGAAGATAGACGAAAACATTATCTCTGTCCTTGGAGAAATCTCAGGATGGAAAAAGGTCCTGAGATCTATCACAACTTCTTCTTCTTCTTCTTGTGCCATATCCATTATCGGACGTTGGCGATCATGTTGGCGATCCTGTTTTTATTAGCAGCCGCACGAAAAAGTGCTGCTGAGTTTTGTCCAAACCAGTCCCTATCACAACTACGTAGTTTAAAGCTTATCTCTATATATACTGAATAAGAGTAGACCTGGAAGGGATCTTGGAGGTCTTCTAGTCCCCCCTCCATTCAAGCAGGAGACCCTATACAATTTGAAACAAGTGGCTGTCCAGTCTCTTCTTAAAAACCTCCAGTGATGGAGCACCCCCAACTTCTGAAGGCAAGCCATTCCACTGGTTGATTGTTCTCACTGTTAGGAAATTTCTCCTTAGTTCTACATTGCTTCTCTCCTTGATTTGTTTCCATCCATTGCTTCTTGTCCTGCTTTGGAGAACAGCTTGACCCCCTCTTCTCTGTGGCAGCCCCTCAGCTACTGAAACACGGCTACCAAGAACCAGGGGCAACTTGATAACCATCATTTGGCTAGCAGGAGAAAAATATTTCCAAATACATATGACATCCCCTGTTCTTAGAGACTCATGTTGAGAAGCAGATCGATCCCAAATGGTCACCTCCTACAATTTCAGTTATATATAATAAAGAACCACCAATTTTCAGAGGTTTGAGAAGTTGGGTTGAATAGACAAGAAGCAAAGAGTTCCGCAAAGGTCAGCACTAGAAACAGGAAGGAGCGGTCCCTCCGATTGAGGAACAGAGAAAGAAATGAATGTTTTTGAACCCATTAGATTCGGGAAATGTCATTTTTCACATATGAAGGCAACACCGGAAGAATTGCATAAAGGCAGGGATATTTTCTTAAAACGTTTGGAGACTCAGGTCAAGGCTTGTTAATGGCTGAATCGTAATAATGCTTTTTCCATTTACTGATGTTTTGATTACTTTTTTTTAAAAGTTACTTTAGTTGCAGCTGCTTGATTTATAAACCATTTTACCGTGCCTAGGGAATAAGGCGTAGAACATTAGGATGTAACATGCATTTTCTTATTTAATACTATAATATAAATTACAGATGACTGGTCATCTTATTCTTCCAGGGAACTGAACATTAAATTTCCACAATTATGAATTTGAACCTGTTCATATCTTGCTGGATCAACGAGGGTGAAAGGACCCAAATTTCACTCAGATTCATAGCCTGCTTTTCTTCAAAGACCTAAGGGGGCTTCTGTGAAGATTTATTTTCATTGTCTCCTAATATAGCAATGTTTTGACCTATGTTAGGCTGAGAAGGATTGCTCCAAACTCACCTGGTGGGTTTCCACAGCTAACAGTTAACTTGATCCTGGAGGTCTCAATTTCTAATCCAACATGGCTACATCATATTGCAGTGGTGGCGAACCTATGGCACGCGTGCCAGAGGCAGCATTCGGAGCCCGTTGCCCCAGCCTCGCCTCCCCCTTTCACCCCCTCCTCATCGGCAGCCCCCCGGAGGAGAGTCGCCCCCGAGCATGGCCCATGCGGAGCAGCGCAGCCAAGGACATGGCAGCCAGGCAGCGTAGACAAGACTCTGCCCTCACACCCCATCACGCACAGTTGATTCTGCGGGGCGTGGCAGAGGGTGTGGGCGCCATGGCGCTGCTGGGCTGCCTGGGCAATCTGCGGCGGGCCCTGGAGGCGGTGAGTGGCCCTGTGGGCAGGCGGGGCAGGGGATGGGGTGGGGGTGGAGCAGGGCCAGGGCCAGGGCAGGAGGTGGAGCGGGGTGGGGTCAGATTTTAGGCACTCGGTCTCTAAAAGGTTCATATTGGCTTTTCTATGTCTTTTGCCCATAATCTGTAGAAAACATTGATCTAATGTGGAGACATGAGCCAACACAAGATGTGTAAAGGTCCGAGTGCCCTCCACAAACAAATTCTGCAACGGTGAAGAGGGGCTGAGGCCATATCTTCATTTTAGCAATGCAGTAAATGGGTAGAGCAGCAGGGATTTGCTGCCATGTGTCTCAGTTCTAAAATAGCATTTAATGACTTGCAAGAAAACTGCAAGCAAGTTGTTTGTGACTTTTCTGTTTGAACAACCAGTATTGCGATGAAAAGTTCGAGCTGCATTAAAAAAGAGAATGGGGGGATCCTTTTCAGCATTGTGTTATATTGTCTGACTGTAGAAGAAAGTTTTTGAATAATATTAATACTTTCCCCAACCTGTAACGGCCCTGAATATAATTGCTTGATGGTCTACTTATTTAACGCTTTTTGCAAAGAGATTGCTAGAACTGGGTATGTATCGTTTAATCAAAAGAAGGACTAGGTAGCAGTCTTTCAATATTTGAGGGGCTGCCACAGAGAAGAGGGGGTCAACTTATTTTCCAAAGCACAGAAGGAAGAAGAAGAAGAAGAACTTCCATAGAAGCAATGGATGGAAATGAATCAAGGAGAGTTCCAACCTAGAATTAAGGAAGATTTTCTTTACAGTGGGAACAATTAACCAGTGGAACGGCTTGCCTCCAGAAGTGGTGGGTGCTCCATCAAGGGGGGCTTGAAAGAAGAAATTGGACAGCCATTTATTTGGATTGATATAGGCTCTGCTGCTTGAGCAGGAGATTGGACTAGAACAGGGGTCCCCAATCCCCGGTCCGTGAACCGGTACTGGGCCACGGCATGCCAGCAACCGGTCCGCACAAACAAGGAAAGGCCCATCCACGGGATGCAGGCAACACACAAAAACCACACACTCTCCGGTCTGTGGAAAAACCTGTCTCCACAGAACCGGTCCCTGGTGCCCAAAAGGTTGGGGACCTCTGGACTAGAAGACCTCCCAGGTACCTTCCAACTTTGATTCTACTCTACCCTACCCTACTCTACTCTACTCTACTCTACTGTACCCTACCCTACCCTACCCTACCCTACCCTACCCTACCCTATCCTATCCTACCCTACTCTACTCTACTCTACTCTACTCTACTCTACTCTACCCTACCCTACCCTACCCTACCCTACCCTACCCTACCCTACCCTACTCTACTCTACTCTACTCTACCCTACCCTACCCTACCCTACCCCATCCGATCCCACCCCATCCCAACCCATCCCATCCCATCCCATCCCATCCCATCCCAATCCCATCCACTTCTTTGCTCTTCTTCAGCAAGTCTTGCTGACATTTTGATGGCTTCTCTTTTCTTTTCCCCATTCCTTCTCTCTCTTTTTTTTTGACCTCAGATAGGAAAAATCTGCATTGACAACTGCATGAAGTTTTACGGCGTCAGCATCACCTACAGCCTAGAGAGTCCGAACGTCAGCTGCTACGCGGTGGAGGTTGCTCCGAGCCACGATGACAAGTACGGAATTCTCTACGTGAACCACTCCGCTGTGTTGCAGAACCCCGAGTGTCGAGAAATACACTACCCTGTGGTAGCTAAAGAGGAGTGGAGCAGGAAGGAAGCTTACGCTCATCTTACTGTCCTGCTTGAAGGATCACGTAAGACGTTTGCTGTTTCTAGAAAGTTGGTGCTTGGTTACGCTTGAATGGTTGGTTACCTGAATTCGGAGAACTGGCCGGCTTCCCGAAGTCCAGTCTAGGCCTCGGAGGCCTGGAAGAGGCCCACCGGAAGTCCGTTCTAGGCTTTGGAGGCCTGGAGGAGACGTCCCAGGCTTAGAATGGCCCACTGGAAGTGCGTGAATGTCACTTCCGGAAATCTGTTCTAGGCATCGGAGGTCTGGAGGAGGCCTCCCAGGCCTAGAATGGCCCACCGGAAGTGCATGCATGCCACTTCCGATAGTCCGTTCTAGGCCTCGGAGGCCCAGGCCTGTATCAAATAAGAGAACCAGTTGTTCAGGTATATTTGACTCCCACCACTGCTGTGATCCTTATTTTTCATGCCTGACATTCGTGGGTTTATAAGAAGGATTTCTGCAACACGATGGCGACAGCGATGCCATCGAAGGTCACAATCTCTTCTGTCTTTCTCTTCTTCCCAGTTATACATAATGATGAGAACTGTCCAGACTCCTGTGCTATGAGCAAAAGGCGATCGGAGTGCGAAGAATGTGGAGGTGTCGGAGTACTGATGGGAAAATGCCAATGGAGGCAGGGAAGCGGGAAAGGTATATTTGAAAAATATTTGAAAAAATCTGCCTTAAAACTGAGCCGTATTTTGCAGCAAACGCAGCTTTGTGGAATGTGTGCATTTCGTTAGTGAAAATAGTTTCTCTGATGTTCAGGAAAGGAGCAAACAGGCTCCCTCTTGTCTATGGAGGTTCTCCGTCATCCAGGTCATGGTTGTCCCAAATCTTTGGGACAACCATGACCTGGATGACGGAGAACCTCCGTAGACATTGAGCTGTGCATTTTGGAATGGACACCCTTCGAATGTTGAGGGAATATGAATGGATTTCCAGAAAATATTGCAGACTACAAGAACCATTTGAGCCTCAGTTTGAGATGCAGACAACACAGACTCATCCCCAACAGCCTTGCGCCCGTCGTCAACAGGGAAGGGACCCAGGGCAGAAAACATCTTACAGCCAAGAAGGCTCTACACCCATTTTCACCACTCAGGTGACCCTGAGGACACAGGTCAACCTCCAAATGGCCTCAACGACTCTCTAAAAGAAGACAAATGAGTCGCTGAGGCCACTTGGAGGTTAACCTGAGTGGTGCAAATGGGTGTGGAGCCTTCTTGGAAAGGACTGTGTGGTAGACTGGAGATAGATAATTTTGTATCCCTCCCCCTCTGTGGAGAGAGGGCTGTCCATACCCATTTGCACCACTCAGGTGACCCTGAGGACACAGATAAACCTCCAAGTGTCCTCTATGACTCTCTAAAAAGAATGCAAATGACCAGCAGTCTGCAAGGAGTATAAATCTTTCCATTCCCCACCATCCAAGTCAGAGCTGAAGAAGCTTCTTGGATGAGAAGCGAAACGTCTTCAAAATAAAACAAGAAAGTCCAGTTGCCTCCTGAAAAAAAAAGCACCTTTGGGTTTGAATTGGTTATGCATTGCCCAGAATTCAGAGACCATGTTCTGTTTTTAGGAATAACCACCAACTACTCTACTTGTAGTCCAAGCATCAAGACATGTCCGGATGGGATTTGCGATGCTGTCGAAAGCAGAGATAAGAGAATCTGCCCTCAAGATTGCACAAGTATGGAATCTGGACTTTTTTTCCCCCCTTCATTCTTGGCTTTGATACCTGTTTTGTTTCTTTCTGTCCCTGAGTCCACATTGGTGCTTCAGCAGCTGATAGCATCTGGTGGATGATTTGGTCTGAGCTCAGGGAGGTAAGACAGATCAGGCCTGAGGGATGCTTTGATGAACAGCTGCCAAGTGGATTCCCAGGGCTGTAAGCCAGATTGGGAAATCCTCAGTCAATCAAGAATTCTGGAACAGAATGAAATGGAATGCACACAGCCATGAAATCACCAGGAACGAAACCTCATCTGAAGGATAATTCTTTCTTTCCTTCTTTCTTCTTTTTTCCCTTCTTTCCTTCTTCCTTCCTTCTTTCTTTCCTTCCCTCCTTCTTTTCTTTCTTTCTTTCCTTTTTTCCTTCCTTCCTTCCTTCCTTCCTTCCTTTTTTCTTCTTTCTTCCTTTTTTCTTTCCTTCCTTCCTTCCTTCCTTCCTTCCTTCCTTCCTTCCTTCCTTCAACTCAGGTGAAGGTTCATTCTCCAAGCTTCTGAGTTGGTTTACGAACGTTTTGTTACCAGGCTAGCTAACATCTTCAGCATGGTTTATGGGATGTCAGTGTGGCTGTTCTTCTGTTTATAAGGCCTTAAGGTGTGGGTGTGTCAAGTGAGGGTCTTGTGATGGGTCAGGTGTGAGTCTTGTGATGGGTCTTTTAATGGGGATCCAACCCACGCAAGCCCCCCCTCCCACCAGTTCACCTCCCAATAACCCTGACCTGAGGTAACCTCCCCATCACGACCCATCACAAGACCCATCATAAGATGCTCACTTCACACATCCACACCTGAAGCCCTTATAAACAGAAGGACACTGACATCCTCTAAGCTCCGCTGATGATTTTACCTAGCCGGGTCACAAAATTGTCATGGTTCCGACAGATGAAACCCTTCAAAAGAATTTCAAGGCATTGTTTACCTTAAAGAATCTTTTATTCAGGAAACAAAGTATCAGCACTACAAAGTATCCCTCCCCTGGATACAAAGTAACAAAGTACAATTCCCACCCCCAATAAACAATCATAAAGCACATTCCCCAATTAGCTTGAAGTGGCAGGCTTTCTCCCCAGCTCTCCAGCTCTCCAGCCCGCCAAAACTCTATCAACTCTGGGTGCAATGACCTTGGGTTCCCACGGCTGAGTTATTATTATTACGACTAACCGAACTCTCATCCCAATCCCCCCTCCCGGCAGCAACTAATTCTAAAAGCAATAGAGAAAATGGCTGCATTTTCAGCCGTTGTCAAAGCAAGAGCATCCGATGTTAGCAGCGTTGACAGAAATGTTACCCACAAGCTTGGAGAACATACAATTCAAAAAAAAACCTCTTGCAATATAAAATCTCCAAACAGATGTCCGTTTTCTCACCCAAACTTGCTTCGCCTATTTTGATAAGCCAAATTTTCAAATATTTATTAAAAGAGAACACCATCTGGTGCCGAGCCCTGGTGCCTCAAATAAAGCTATCTCAATCCGTCTTTGATTTAGGAACCAACATTATTGGTGGCCATCAAAAAGGAAATCTCGGAAGTGGAATCAAGGCAGGACACGGCGTCTGTCACTGCTTTCCAGGAGTAAACTGTTACTGTGCGAAAGACGATATCCGGGGTAAGTCTGAAGTTGTGAGTCTCTCGTTGCATCGCTGGATGCTCTAGCATTTTTGTGACAAACGTTGTCCTCTTAAAACAGATGTTTCCCAGTGCAAATGTTTTGCTCAAAAATGTGAACAGGATGGTAGGTCATGACCACGAATGAAATGAATGCGTGGGTAATTGGGAACCAAAAAGCTCTTTCCCTCCCCTAGCGTGGATCTCTTTGTCCCATTTTACGACCTTTCTTGCCACAGTTGTTAAGTGAATCACTACAGTTAGTAACATGGTTGTATCTAATAACTGTGACAAGAAAGGTCGTAAAATGGGACAAACTCACAACTGTGCTGCTTAGTGACAGAAATTTTGGGGCTCTGTTGTCATAAATGGAAGATTACCCATAGTTAGTAAGATCAGGAGCGAGAGCAGTGTGGTCACCTAGTGGCGAAGACGCTCGCTTCCCACTCGGAAGGTTGAGAGTTCAGTCCTAGATAGTGGTAGAAGTTTCTCTGGGCGCAAAGAAAAAAATATCTGCTGTGAACTCCGCGTAGGCATCAGGAAGGGCAGCCGGCCAGCAAACGCTCAGTTCCACCCAGTTGCCCTGACTCTATCTCGAATTTAGGGATTACAGGGTCGTAAAAAAGGAGACCAAGATCAGGAGCGAGAATAGCACAATGGCCTAGTGGTGAAGACGCTCACCTCCCACTCGGAAGGTTGAGAGTTCAGTCCTAGGTAGTGGCAGAACTTTCTCAACTCCAAGAAAAAAATATCTGCTGTGAACTTCGTGTAGGTGTCAGGAAGGGCAGCCAGCCAGTAAATGCCTCAACGCTATCTCGAATTAAGGCATTGTAAAAAAAGGAGAGCAAGATCAGGAGCGGCGAGAATCTGGCCTCAAGATATTTCTTCTTTCTCCGCAGAAGCTTTGTGCGACGACATGTGCAAAATGGTGATTGCTGGAGGAGTCCTGCTCTCTTTCATTATCTCAGTGGTCCTCTCTTCCTACTTCATTCATCGCTACCACAAGAACGCGCCCAAAACGCCCATCGCCTCGGCAGAGATGACCTTCCGGCGCCCAGCTCAGGCCTATCCCGTCAACTATTCGTCAAGTAATGTCCGTCGACCGTCGATGGACTCAGAGAATCAAATGTCAGTAGATGCATTTAAAATCCCTGTAAGTTCTTCTCGTTTTCAGCTGCTTAATGAGGAGGATTATCTGGGCCCGGTTTTACCTGAGGCTTGGCCTCATTGCGAGGCAAGCGTGTCTCTGAGGGATGTAGGAGGCCGAAAGGAATGTAAAAGAGAAGAGATTTTAATAAGATTTTTGGAACAGGCACTTTTTTACCACACTTACTAGTTCTGACCTACCACTGCATGGTATTGAGTAAAATACACTAACCAAGTTTCAAAAACCTCACTGGTAAATCTCAGCTTACTATTTGGGAGTAAAAACGGACGAAATACTGTTCTAGATGTCTGTGGAGATTCTCGGTCATCCAGGTATGGTTGTCCCAAAGGTGCTTTTTCAGGACTTCCTTGTTTTTCTTTGAAGATGTTTCTCTTCTCATCCAAGAAGCTTCTTCAGCTCTGACTGGATGGTGGGGAAAGGAAGGATTTATACTCCTTGCAGACAGCCGGTCATTTGCCTCCTTTTAGAGAGTCGTTGAGGCCACTTGGAGGTTGACCTGTGTTTACCTCAGGGTCACCTGAGTGGTGCAAATGGGTGTGGAGCCTTCTTGGCTACAGGATGTTTTCTGCCCTGGGTCCCTTCCCTGTTGAAGACAGGTGCCGGGTGTTGGGGATGAGTCTGTGTTGTCTGAATCTTAAATCTCTTGTGCTTCGGTTTGAGATGTATCTTAAAGAAAGTCACATATAAAAATTCAATGTGGGGTCCATGGCATTCTTAGCTTGGTTGTTTTCTTGCAGGTGTTTCATTACCAAACTAGGTAACGTCATCAGTGCAACCCTGAGCTACAAATAACGGTAAAAATTCAATATATAATGGAGGTGTGCATGTAATAGCTAACCGATTTTATTTATCTTCCCCCCTGCCCCTCTACTTCTGACTGATAAATAGAATTATTTTTTCCTCTTAGGTGTCATAAAAGCAAACATTAAAAAGATTGAATGATTAAGAGGTCAGTAACTGTAAAACTAGCATTGCCTAGAGTTAATACGTTGATATGCTAGCTAATTAAACAGAATGCTTAAGGATTGCAATTAGATGTAAGATGTAAGGTGAAATACTCTCTAAAATAAAGGTGGGTGTTATTATTTGGAAATCACTGGCTTCCACGTGCATTTTGTGATCCGACCATATGAAGCCTGTATGAACGGCAAACATTCCACATGTTTCTGTTTGTTACAATAGTTTATTTGTTAGTTATGTGCTTTTTGGTAAAGAGCACAACACATGATTGCTTGTTCTACAGGAAGGAGCAATTAGATTATAGTTAACTAGTTTTTTTTTTCCTGAAGCCTGCAATCAATTATTTTAATGTTCCCTAGCAACCTCAGCCAGCAATTTCCCCTTGCAGCTGTTAACAACTGTGCCAGTACAATATATCAAATGTAGTTTTTTGCTGGGGGAAAAAAAAATGTCATTGTTTAAATGAAAGCAAGGCTTGGTTTGGTTTTTAAGAAGCAAATTGGAATCTGGTTGTCATAGTCACCCATTTGTGGCTTGAATGACACACAGGGAAAGAGAGCACACACACAACTATTTGCTTTACAATACTTAGCTCTATAAATAGCCCCCCCCCCCCCAAATGGTGAAGACACAATGACTTAGCTCCAGTTTCATTTCCAGACTATATTGGGCATTTGGGTTTGCACACTTGTTACTTGATCCTCTTCTCAATCTTCTTTTATTTTCCAAGAGGTCGGTGGTACAACTGCAATCAACCATTAAAGGCGAATATTTGTAGCTCGGGGTTGACATGAGGGGTCCTTGGTGGTCTCTGAGCTTGGTTATTTTCTTGCAGACATTTCATTACCCAACTGGGTAACATCATCCGTACTAGAAGGGAGGGAGGAAGGAGGAGGAGGAGGAGAAGGAGAAGGATGACGACTGTGGGGTCCTTGGTGCTCTCTGAGCTTGCTTGTTTTCTTGCAGATGTTTCATTACCCAGCTAGGTAACATCATC